TTAAGATACCTCCCTACCTGCAACTCATTTCTCCCATCATTCTTGCTAATTTCCGAAGCGGTTCTGGAGTCCTCTTTGTTGAGTGTCTGTCGTTGTACTGTTTTGGCTGCCTCAGTGTCCCGAATTGATTCAGAACACTTGCTTTGAATGGTCATTGTGACTTTGGGGAGGAGACAGAAGTCACCCAGAGCCAGACCCTGCGAATAAGACGGATGGGACACACTGCAGTGTTTCTGTAAGCCCGCCTTTCCTTAGATAGCGCTTAATAGCAGTGTGCACTGTTTCTTTTTTTGGGGGTACTGAGGATCAAACTCGGGACCTTGCACTTATGAGGCAGGTGGGGGAACCACTGAGCTAAATCCCTGGCCCTGTATTTCTGATCACGCATTGGAAAGACACTCACGAAAGAGGACTTCACAAAGTGGCAAGAGCAATAGAATAAGTGTGCTTGAAAGGGAAGGGGAGTATTTTGAGGAGGATTAATATTAATGTGTTTTTCTGCTGTAATAAATTTTTAAAATTTAAATGTGCATCATACATTCTGATCAGTCATTCTGGGCACATCACCCAGCACGCACTCTTTTCAACTAGGTCCCTCCTTTCTACATTCCCATCACCTGCAATGGCCCATCAAATTATAGACCCATCAGTGGGTTTAACGCACTGGTGAGGTCAGAACCCTCATGATCTCCCATTTCCCCAAAGCCTCACCTCAGCACTGTTGCGTTAGGGACCACACCTTTAACACACAAACCTCTGGAGGACATTTCAGACCCAAACTATGACACTATGTCGCCTCCTCACCAGAGGAGGTGCCGTGGAAACTGGTGTCAGCCTCTCTACCCTAGCAAGCTTTGCTAGGCTGACAAGACTGTGGTTCAGTGCATGGATCAGAGACCTGAGAAATCAAGGTGCAGTGGAGTGCTCTTTTGTATAAGGCAGAAATTACTACCGAATATCCTTTAAAGTCCTCTTTTACATATGGTACATGTGGTTTCATGTGTGACACTGTCAGCAACACAAGAGAAGTGAAACTTTTCAGGGAGAACATCTTCCACTGGGGGTATCACCTGGCAGAAAGCAGTGGCCACATTCTTTGAATTATTTCCCTTTCAGCCCTTTTTGTCTCCCAGTGTGTGTTGAACTCTTTTAAATTTTCTACTCCATATTCTATTCTTTTATGCTCACTTGAGCTGCTGCCAGGTATAACTTACTGCTCTTGCTCAGATATGAGCCACAGTTTTCTCTGGAATGAGTAGGCTGGAGTAAGTGGTCGATGGACCATTCCGTGGTTGTCTCTGGAAAAGGCCAGTTCCCAAGCTCAAGCTGCCTGCTCTGGGCAGAACAAGAGGGAAAATAAGATAAGTTCTGCCTTGGCATTGATGCCATGACAGTTGCGGGCTCAGAACAGCACATTACCCAATTACTCTTTTAAGAGAAATTCAGACTCTTCTCTAATGTTTAAGTATTGGGGAAGAAATTGGGATGTTTTTAAAAGTAGCATACTTGGCCAATAAAACACCTCTGAGAGGGGCCCTACTTGCTTCTAGTGCCCTCTGCCCTCCCTTAACATTTGGTGTCTTCCCTCATCCCTAAAATCTTATGGGAAGCAAAGGTATTGAGAAGAGCAGGCAGAGTTCCCTTTCCTTTCACCGATAGTGCTGATCCCAGTACCTGTGGAATGGCAGTTTTGCACTACATGAGGACATTCACATAGTACAGAAACTAAAGGTGAAATTCACTCATGTAACCAAAGGTTTGAATCTTTAAGATTGTATTACCTATCAAGTTTAAGGCATTTAGACTACAGTCACGTTGTGGTACGACTTAGGCTTGAGTTAATATTTATTGTCATCCTCTCTGATCCTTACCTTTCTCATTTAAAAACATGTCGGAAGGGGCTTCATGGTTCTTTGCATGATAACATTGTTGAAACTTTTATCATTATATTTAGATTGTGTTAGAGAAATAAACACAGTTAACTTGTTTGTGGGCCTAGGGTACTGGGGCCTCTCCCCTCAAGCCACCTCCAGATTCTGTAGAAATTTGATGTTTGGGCTGAGAGTGTCTTAGTAGTACTGTGTGGGCTTAGCAGGTACAAGGAAGGCCTTGGGTTCAGTTTCAAAACGAAGGAGGAAAAGCAGAAGGAGGAGGTTGAGGGAGTATAAGGAGGAAGAGAGAGGGAGGGAGGAACTTGATCTTTGAAATTACATAGCTATCCTAAATAGTATGTGTGGGTGTACCTGTACCCAAATATATCTGTAAGTGGAGTTATATTGAAATAGGGATTTAAAAGCCTGGCGTGGCGGAGCATGCCTGTAATCCCAGCACTGGGGAGGCTGAGGCAGGAAGATTGCTGTGAGTTTGAGATCAGCCTGAGCTACATAGTGAGTTCCAGGTCAATCTTAACTATGTAGTGAAATCCTAAGTAAAGCAACCAGAAAAACAAACAAGCAGACAAACAAGGGATTTAGTCTAGAAACTGTCGTGATAGGTTTTATCAATTTTAAAAGGTTGAAAATACATTTTCTAGTTGATGAAAATGAGCCTCAGAGAGGCTAAGTGACTTTCTGTGGTCACAAGTTTATTAGTGTTGGAGCTGGTGCCCAAATCCTGGAGTCAGCCTATCCGCCTTCCATAACTCCGCAGCATTCATTGCTCCATTGTGTGTCCTCATCTCCAAAACCAGAGTTGATACTTCCTAAGACGACCCACCTCTTTGATTTTGATTTCCTGTGCATATAGTGGAAATTAAATTTGTTGTTTTAGGGCCGGGGATTTAGCTCAGTGGTGCTGCCGCCTGCCTCACAAGAGCAAGGACCTGAGTTTGATCTCTGGTACAAAAAAAACAAAACAATTTTTGTTGTCTTGGTGTTAGTCTCTCAATCAGACCACATAAGGTATATTTTAACAATATTTTTCCATTTTGTTCTTTTGGTTTATATGGACAGCATTATTACAGTCAATTTACAGCTAACTATAATATGAAGAGTTTGTTGAGAAGAATGCAAAAAATGTACAGCATTAATGGATATGTATGTGTGTGTCTCTGTGTGTGTGTATATATATATATATTTGTGTGTGTGTGTGTGTGCGTGCGTGCGTGAGCGTGTGCTGGGGATCCAACTTGCGCCCTTGTGCGTGCGAGGCAGGTAGTGGAACCACTGAGCCAAATCCCTGCCCCCTGTCATTGTTTAAAAATTAAACAATAAGTTGTCTTAATCTCAGCGTTTTAGTTGCGATAAGGGTTAGAAAGCAGCAGTACATTTTTCCCCTCTTTACACTCCCTTCCTCAGAGCCTCTTTTCTCCCATTTACCAGCCACGTTTTGAGTAGGAACTATCGGTGTGAACTTTGATGCACATGGAACGGCACTGACATGAAAGCATAAATCCCCAAATCTCGGAGGTGGGCTTCCAAATGCTTTTCTTTCCTGGACTGTGTGATCAAGAATGCAGAACGATAAAAAGCATGGAGCAAGAGAAGTGCAGGGCTGTCCTGTGGCATCTTGGATCACTCTGGCAAGGGAACACCGTTTTGGTGAAACGCAGACTGTAGAAGTAGGTCCTGTAGTCATTGAAACAAGGAGCCCACACAGATGACTGCCTCGGCTGCTTAACTAGGAGCATACTTTTTCATCTCATTTGCTGGAAACATACTCCTTTTTTAAGCAACAAAAATGTTATAATATTGCACCTGTCATTGAGTAGCTACGATGGAGACCTAGTGATGTGTGCAGAACGGGAGGTGGGTATTCTACCAGAGAGACCCTCTGTATACCCTTCATATTTACAGCTTGTTAACCCAACTGATAATACGTGCGAGGTTGGCTCGCTCTTGTGTAGGCAGTGTCTGTGTGCAATGCGAAGTTGTAGATAATCCAAGTCCTAGTACAGATGTACAGATGTGTTTGAGTGGCTTTTCACAGCACGTAACCCACACGTAGCAAAGTCGAAGCTGCTCTGTCTGTAGCATTGTTAAGTGGGTCAAATGAATGAGTATGCTGGTTGGTGACAATCATAGGCTTCTGTTTTATCATGGCCAGATTTTGAAAGTTGTGACGAGCTCTTCTCGCTGCCCTCCCAAGGATAGGGGTGCAAAGGAGCTATCATTGCTCCATAAGCTATCTCTGCCTCTCTCACTCTCTCTTTTTGGGAAACTGGGGATTAAAGTCAGGACTTGGACTTGCTAGGCAGGCCTGGCGCCACTGAGCCACATCTCCGGCCCTAGCTCCATAAGATCTTAAGCTGAGCTGTTTTCTATTTCCTGGATTTAGAGAGAGATTGCTCAGTCTTAGTCAGGCCCATTAGGGATCTTGACCAGTTGAACCACTAAAGGATTTATGTATTGGAGGAACTCATGTTCTGTTGATGTTGGGCGCATGCCTTCACTTCTTGTCTATGAATTCTGCTAAACTTTGCAACAGAATATTTAATTAGGAATTGATGCTAACTACATGCTAATAATATCCAGTTTATGTGTTTCGGTGTGTGTAATCAAGTTATGTATTTTATATATTCAGCAGAGTAAGTTAATATATTTTAATAGTTATTTAATTCATTATGGTTTATAAAGTACTTTGAAAACCATTTTAGTCCATCTCCTGTACTTAAATATCTGGTGATGTAGATGTTATTGTTTATTAGTATTTATTAAACTTTCTCCATTGGAAAATGTAGATTTGAAAATTAAGATTTCAGTACAAGTCAGAAAGCATTTTTCGTTTACATTCAGTGAGACTAAAAGGTCATCCATTGGTGAAGTTAGAAAACCCTTGAAGGCCTACGTATAATCGTGGAAACTAGTGCTCTTATGTTAACCTTGTTCCCCTTGAAAAAATAAAATGCTCATTCGAATCTGCTTTGTATTTTGGCCCATGAAATGCTCAGCGCGTATTATAATTGCAAATGGAATTTGGAATGATGATGTGTTCTAGAAGCGATGTTCGCAGATTGCATTGCAGAATGCAGCACCACTGCAGTAAGCCTGTCTGTCTTTCAGGTTGACCCCCTGTTTACAGTGCCAGCACCACCGCCACCGATTTCCAGCAGTCTCACGCCTCAGATTCTACCCTCCTACTTTTCCCCATCTTCATCCAATATTGCAGCACCCGTTGAGCAGCTTTTGGTTCGGACTCGGTCTGTGGGTGTCAATACATGTGAAGTTGGAGTAGTGACAGAGCCAGAGTGTCTTGGGCCCTGTGAACCCGGGACCAGTGTGAATTTGGAAGGGATCGTGTGGCATGAAACAGAAGAAGGTAAATACAATTTATTTTTATTTATTTTCTTATGCCTTCCACCCATGCTGTATTTCTGTCCACCTGTGAGGGGCAGTTGTTTTGTGGTATTCAGAGAGGGAAGAAGAGCAGTTCATAGGCTTTATAAATTATTGTGGAAATAAGAACTGTGTCCACCTTCTTGTTCTTTTACATGTAGGGCGAGTAAGTATCCTTAGAAATGTTCTTGCCGCTATAAGGGCCGACACGGAAGTGTTGTGGGAAGTGGGGTTGGGGGCATCGGTCCTATAACGTATTGTGGATGTTGAGGAGGAAGCTAGATCTCAAGTTTATTGTGCACTTGGTGTGCTAGTCTGTCTGTCTGTCTGTGGTGGCTTCTGTTTACCTTGGGAGTGGAGAAAGTGTCTGCACATAGCAAGGACCGTTGTCGCGATGTGGCTTGGCCTGTTGGTGCTGAGCTAATGAAGGTCAGAGGCTCACGCCGTGGTGGAGCCAGGCATCTCTTTATGGCCAGAGCCAGAACCTTTCCTGCCCCTTGGCTCAGCAAGCCATTCGGCAAGCGCACTCCATTCATCATGAGGGAGACAAGGTGCAAGAGAAATGGATCAGTCTGTCATTGCTACAGAAAGTATAAGTCAGAGAGTGTGCCGGGTGACAGTGGATCCGGATCGGGTTGGCCACGTCTCACAGCACACGGTCCTGGGGGGGAGAGTGTTTCAGTGAACACCAGCCACTGTGAGTCGAGAGCTGCTGTGTCCTTTCGGAATGGAGAGAGGAAAAGAGTAAGGGAGGAGCACACTGAGGCGGGTCAAAGGAAATTGAAGAACGGGGAGAGCGTTTTCTCTCCTTTCCCGCCAGCTTGGTCAGGGTGAAGAGATGACAAGGTGAATACTGTGGCGGTTTGGGAGAAGCGTGAGGACAGGACAGGAGTCCAAGAAGGATCTGTGACTCAGAATCATTCCCCAGATCCCTGCAACACAAGGAGGGAGAAACTGAGGGTGAAACTCAGAGGAAAAGGTAAAAACCATGCAGAGGAGGCTGATGGGGAGGAAAGGGAAGTGTATGCTGGGGATGTTTCCTGGACAAGAAGGAGCTGAAGTTGTTTCCAGATAGAAAAAGATTTTTAGAGAAATCTTTGAACTTGTTCACATTATATTACCTATAGACTGTACCCTTGTGTGATATACTTCATAATTAGATAAAAGATTTTGTAGTGCCAATAAGGAAGACAAAAGCTTAATTTTCCAAGAACAGGGAATGAAAAAAAATAACAGCTGCTGTGTGCTCTCCTCCTTGTTCAACCGGACATGATAGTGAAATTTACTTCTGGCTTTAGAAATGTCATAATTTTTGCATCTTCTTCTTTTGTACTTTTTGTTTTCTTAAAAGATATTCTAGAAACCCATTTAAAACAGTGTTGTGATGTCACATTGCAGGAACCGATGTACAAGGAGTCAGAATAAAACTTTTCATGTCTTGTTGGTCCATTTAGGACAACTTTGAGCTGTACATTTCAGCTGTCCCAGAGCAGAAGTGGTAGAGAAGGGCTGCAAACTGTTACCTCAGTGTGGGAAATAGAGAAGAAGAGTCACAGGATTAATGCATTTCCATTGAATTAGTTGAGGTGACATTTCCAGGAACAGAAAACAAGACCAGGATAGAGTGGGATTAACGGCCATAACACAAAAGTCAGATTTCCTTGACCTTGGTGAGCTCATGCAGTAGGGTGAAGTGCTGCCCTCCATTTCTTTGCCGTGACTTAGCACCTGCAAGCCCATTGCTCGTCATGATTTTATTCAAATAAGTGTAGGGTGGGGCAGAGTTCTGCAGTGTGACCTCCGTAGGAGGTGGGTGTTATTAAATTAGCCACCAACTTTCTGGGACAGCTTGGGTTATTCTTCAGTTTGCCTAGAAGTCTGTTTAGTCTTTACTTTTAACCTGAGCCTCGAATAAGAGAGGATTACTTAGGAAAAAAAATCTGCTTAGAAACTATAGTAGTATTCAAGTTGAAGTGGAAATCTGATCCTCTGTCAATGTTTAGAGCCGTAAGACATTTTTTATTATTTGCTAGCGACACAAGAAAGCCTTAGCAGCTCCGCCCTTGCTCTGAGGAATCAATCCGGATTCTGATGTTCCCCTGATTGCAGTATGTCATTCATCGCCCGTGGATGTCTCTGCTGACTCACACAGCAGGCTTGGGCTTTAGAAGGCTGCCAGGCAAGGAGCAGAGATCTTCGGGGAGCTCCCACTTTGCCCTTGCAGGCTCACATGTTCAGGATTGGAAATGTGTGGATGTTTACCGCGATGGCAGAAAGAAGCTGGAGCTCTGAATGGTGTCGTTTTTGCCCAAGAAAGCTAAACTTCTGACCTCCACAGGTCTAAGAACACACCTTGGTGGAGGCCTGGGTTATAAGATGTGTGTTTAACGTGCAGCCATTTTCAAGAGCATTCCTGTTTGCCTTTCCCTCGGTACAGTGTGCTTAAAGCTTTTATACCAATTTAAAAATTAAACCCACTTGACCATTCATTTTTCTTTCAGGAAAAACAAAGAGACACACAAGATACACTGGGAGCCAGTAATTTGGCAGATCTTGAAGATGGTTTAGAGGGAAAGGGAGGGGAAAGTAAGACACAATAGTTTTGTCCTTACCAAACTGTCCGTGCCTTTTTTGCCTCATGCCCTGTAGATTGAGTGAGTAAAACTCCTTTCCGGGTACTTTTATTTTGAGGGTATCAGGAGAGTGGTGATGTTTTTCACAACTCTGATTTGCTGTATGTGTGGGCGAAGGATGTATTTGTGCATTTTAAAATCCCAGAGTTAAGTATCGATGTCTGCCGTCTTTCAGGGCTGTCGGTTCTTGTGGTTTTCTTTGGTGGTGATGAGGAGCAGCAGAAGGGCACTGCCAAGTCCCCATTTCCTAAGTCATTTTTCCTGGGCTTGGACCTCCTCATCTGAGGCGAGGCCTTTTCATCGTAGTCTTTGCCCCAGTGTGTCCACTGCCAGTACACGGAGTCCTGGTTGTCTAAGAACCACATGAATAAGTGCTTCTGAATAACGTGTTACTAGTGGAGTCTCCTCTGGAAAAAATCAGTGGATTTCACAGCACGCTTAATAGGAGAGAAACACTCACTGCTTTCGGATGTTTGGTTCTTCTGATCTTTGTTCTTTAAGGTGAACAGATAGGAGCAGTGATGTATTCTGCAAAATTACTCACAGATGTTGGAAGAATTTCCTTAGCATTTCATTTCTGACATTTGGAACACATATGCTTGTGTATAGTTACTTGTTTGGAAATTTGCTCTTTTGAGAAAAACACCAGAAAAAACATAGTATACATGTATACAGCGATGTTTGTAAGTATGTCCATGTTGGATGTGGCCTTTTAACCCCTGCGAATATGTTTCCCATTGTTTTGGATCATGTTGGTCCATCTTGTTTGGGCCGTACCTGAGCATAGCATGGTCCAGCTGTGTCCTGTGTGTTGTAACTGACATTTACAACTCCCCAGCCAGTGGTGACCTTCGGAAAATCTATAGGCAGTAGGATAGGATTCTCAGTGGAGTGCTTTTGAATCACCTAGGGAGCTCTGAAAACATGCAGATGAGTGGGTGCTGCTCTCGGCATTTAACTGGTCTGGGTCGGCATTTGGGTCTGTTTGGTGGCCAGGCATTGATGTTTCAGCAAAGATCCAGGGGTGATAATGTACAGAGGAGGTTGAGAAACATTGTCTCAGGAGAGAGAGTGGATATCTCTCACCCTTTACAGTGTCTTTGACATTTTTCTTTTAAGGAAGTCGCCTGTATTATTGCCTCAGGTTCTCAGGTTTTTGGAAGATGGACAGGTGTGCCTGCTTTGGTTACCTCACAGAGTAGATAGTGCCTATCAAGATGCTGGAATGTGCAGGTGACCATAGTTGTTTTCTCTCTGAGAGATCGGTTCCGGTCTCCAGCAAGATGAGTGCCATGGAGGGTTTGCAGGGTTTCATGAACAGCTAATTGGCACCACTCTTCCTAGATAGTGACATGTTGGGGATGGGGCTTACTGCTGACTTCTCACATAAGCCAGGCACAATAGTTTCATTTCTGTGTGGTCTCTGCTAAATTATTTTTCAAACAGTTTAGAAACCCAAAGTAGTAGGGAAAGTGGTTAATATAGCAAATAAAGATTTGTACTCAGAGAATCAGAGGGAGTTTTTAGAGGGCACAATGGAAATATAAGTGGCAACTTAGGATAGTGAAATGTGATTTTAATGAGAAGACTTAACATCAAGTGTGAGAGGAAGAACGCTTCTTACAGGAGGTTCTTCACCGGATGGTTTATGTATTCAGTTTCCAAGGAAGAAACGTGATTTGGGGAATTAATGTTTTAAAGGTAATTAACTGTAGGAATAAGTGATTCTCTTTTAAACCACCAGAGATATTCTTAAATTCTCCAACTTGTCATGTATCCCCAGAGTCATAAATGTGCAGTACACAGGGTTTCAAGCTACTTCATTAAAAGGTAGATGATCTTGTATAATTGAGGTTGGATCTAACACATGGTGTTGTTATTGGTATTTTGCAGTATTTACTTATTGATCTTACTGTTTCACTAGAATGTTTCTTTTAAAATTCTCATTAATTTGAGAAGCGATTAAACATTAATCCAGGCTTACTTTGTGTTTTCAGTAACAGCAGAATTTTCACAATACTGTATGAGGTATTATTTATTGAAGTCTTTCTCTGTGATTTTATAAATTCAACTTTTACTCCCAAGACAAATAAGTAAGATGACCACTTTGGGTATTTCATTACCCCCTACCCATATTTGTGATAATTAAAACAGTTTAATTACTGGGAAATTTAAGATGGCATTTGATGGGTGCCGCCCTCCATCAGTGTTAATGGAGGCAGGTCAGCTCTTCAGCGAGCATAGCTGTTAAGCACTGCAGTAGTAGGATGAAGGGTCAGAACTGCCAGTTCTTTGCTCCACTTCACACTGGTCATGAATCTCATGGTCCTGGGCCAGTGTGGGGCTTCAC